CAGTGAAAGCTGCAGAGGTTGTTGTATGGATGGGCATGTGATTTAATTTGGGATAATGAGATTCAGGCCTAGAAGCTGTGCAGGATCTTGGGAAGCAGAAGCTCCTGCTTTGAGTTGCAATTGTTGAGAAGGAATGGGCACATGAGAAAAGCTGGCTGAGGAATGCAGGATGACCTGAGAAACTCTTACATCCAGCCAGACCTGAATCCTAGATATCCTGGAGTTTTACAAGTGTCACAATCTGATTAATTCCCTCTGTGGCTTTGGTGTTCTGTACCTTCACACAGTTCTAGCTGCTGCAGAAATACAGAGAGAAAGAGATGTGACCAGAAGTTGAGACCATGAAGTTTAGTTCTATGATGAATAATAATCTTTCTGGGCCTCAGTTACTCTGCAAAACAGGGTTCATGCTTCTGGAGGCTCTTCATACTTCTCTGACTTCAAGGTTGAGCGGTGTAGCTCAGATCTCTCTCTGAAGTTTCAGACTCACAAATCTGCTTAGTTGTCTTCAGACCTCACAAATAGAACTGATTTTATTTCCCCCCATTACTTTTCTATTTCATTCTTCTTCTTAATGTATGGTATTCTAGGCTGGAAACTGAAAACCATCCTCCACTATCTACTCTTCCTTTCTTCCTCTCTTTGTAATAGAGTTCTTCCATTTTAATTGAGCACATGAGTGCCCAAATAAAGACTATATTTCACAGACTCCCTTGCAGCTAGTTATGATCATGTGACCAATTCCAGCCAGTGGGATGCAAGCAGAAGTGATATGCAACTTCTGGGTCTGGCCCTTAAAAAAGAAGGACAAAAAGTAAAAATAAAAAAGAGGCACGACTTTCCTTTTCATGTTCTCCCTTCTTACTGGTTAGGATGCATGCACAGGGTGAGCTGTGACTCATCTTGCCAGTGAGGGTTAACTTTGGGGATAGCAGAGAACAGGACTGAAGGTCCCTGGTGATGCTTAGCAGCCTTGGAACCTGCATGCTCATATCTGGACTGTCAGTCTTGTTATTTTGGGCCTCTTGAAGGTTGTTGGACTTAGCAAAGAAAAAAATACTAGAATCTTACCTCAGAGCTAGAAGAGGAAGTTAGAAGATTCTAGAAGACTAATGAAGATGTCCAGAGAGCACGTGAGAGGGCAGATGAGCCTGGGTCTGACTCTCACTCTCTCAGATCATCTTACTCCTCCTGAACTTCTGTTTCTCCTATGTATGATGACTGATTGTATACAACAGTTCTGACCTTCTGTGGGACTGTTTATTCTAGGACAGATGTTGAAGCTCGGACACCAGTGGGACCAGAGAGTCCTTCCTATAAGCTGGCTAAATGGGCCGGGGGGGGTCGTGATGGAACCAAGAACGTGAGTCCCTCCTCACGGGGGTAGTCGCCACTCAGCTCCCGCTGATTGCTGCCACATGGGAATGCAAGATTGCCAGATTTCCTAATTTTTCAAGAAGAGCTGGAAATCTAGATTGTTTTGGTCTGTGCAATCTCCTGATTTTAAAATGTTGGCGACAAATTCACATTTTTTCAAACACTCTGGGGGCCAAACAAAAATATCTGCAGGCTGAATTTGGCTGGGAGCCTCCAGTCAGGAATTTCTGTTTTGATACTATTTTCCTTCTTTCCTTCCTTTGCTTAACAAATATTTACTTGACACCTACTAAGTAGGAAGCACCATTCTATTCCCTGCATATAAAGCAATAACAAAACAGGAAATAAAGAAGTCCCCATCCTCCTGAAGCTTTACAATCTAAGCGGTTGTTTTGACTCATTCATTCAACAAATATCAATTGAGCAAGTCTTCCCAGCACTGAGCTTGTCCGGGAAGGCAAATGTTCACAGTCCCTGCCTTCATGGTGCTTCTAGTCTACAGGGGAAGCAGACAGCGCAAAACCACGGGGGGGGGGGCGGGTGGTGGGGAGAGACGCGGTTCAGGTGGAAGGAAACGGTTACAAACGGGTTCTTAGGACAGCAGCAGTAAAAATGAGAACTAAAGTGGGGTGCAGTAATGAACACCAGCAGTCCTGCTCCTCATGGAAGCTGAAGCTGGAGGGTTGCTTGAGTTCACGAGTTCAAGAACAGACTGTGCAACATAGCAAGGCCTTATCTCAAAAAAAAAAAAAATCTTGAAAAATAAGTACAATTCAATCCTGTAAAAAAATTCTAGAATATTCTAGGTCATAGCAAAGGCTTCCAGCATGCCCCTTTTCATGTCTCCTCAGCTGCAGTCACTTCTGCCCACGTAGGGCCTTCTACAGTGAGCACTGGGATTCCCTACCTCAGGGCTTTCGTGGGATCAGGTCAGAAGTACAGGGCGTACCCCGGAGGAAGCCCTCAGCCCACAATGGAAGGGGATTTTTGGATAAATATCCCACCTCCCTCAGGCTCTGGGTGGCTTGTTGGAGACCACTACATAGTGCCTCTGAGCAGGATTTAATATAAGCAACTGGCTTTCCATGTTTACTTGTGAGTTGTCCGAAGCTTAGGCACCATGTCTGAAGACGGGCAGTGGACTCATAGTAAGTGAACCTCTGTGAGTCACTGGTCACCCTGAGGCCTGTATTGGCCTGTGAAGCTGTCATGCCTCAAAGGACAAGATAAGGCCACAGCTGAGGACATCTGGCTCCAACCCCAATTAATTTAAAGGAGACTATAGCTGAGGTTTCCGCACTACTACAATAAATACCAACCTAAAGATAAGGTAGTTCTCCTGATTGACATAATTTACTACTTGGGAAAATTCTCCCAAGGTCCTGCTCAGATTCCCACAGTTTTTTGAGTATCCCTCTCCTTTGTTTGTAAACCAAATAAATAAACTTCTCTGGGCTGCCCAGAGAAGTCTTTGTCTTAACCCAGAGAATCTCGAATGCTGTAAGAGAGTTGGACCCTCCTGGAGCCCTGAAATCATTTCATTTGTCTCATTTATTTAAGCCTTTGCTGTCCACTCGTTTGGAAGATTGTGGGCCTGATCAGCTTGCAATAATTAAGGGTTAATTAACCCGATAGTGGCTCAGCTCCCAGGCCTGTTCCACACAGCCTGAGGTCCCACTTCCCACAGCACTGTTCATGCAGCCTGCAGTGGTCCGCTTCCTTCTCTGCCTCACTTTCCCACTCTGCACCCTGGGCTTCCAAGGGTCACCTCCCAAATAAGCCAATCACACTCACTCACTGTCTCAGGATCTATCTCTGAGGAAGCCAGCTAAGAAGGGACACGATGTGGCCGGTTCAGAACAGCAAGCTGCCCAGGGCAGGTAGTGGAAATGCGGCTAAGGAGGGGCGGGTGACCAGGTTGGTGTGAGGTCTGGCAAGGGGGAAGCCACGGTGACTTGCCAGCAGTGCAGTAATGCCACCAAGTGCTGGAAGGGGAAGCAGCCAAAGTTGCGAGACCAGACAGGAAGCCAAGCTGGGGTGACAGTGGTTAGGATGCAGAAGAGTGGCTGGTGATGAGAAATGACATGGGCCAGGGACATGGGACTGGTAAGGAGCTCTGGACTGTGTCCTTTTCCTGCGGTTCCCCCCCACCCACTTGGGTTTAAGGAGCAATGGGAGGACACATACACAAAGGGCATACCCAGGGTCACCAGGTCCTTCCTGATGCATAAGAAGCGAGTTGCCCAGAGCTATATAGAACTTCACAAGTGGCCACTTTGAAAGGCAAGAAGAACAAAGTAACATTTCTCTGCACGTTGACTTTACCGGGGTGGACGGGACAGCCATAGAACAGCCTGATGTAGTGGGCAGTGCACCGGGAGGCCCCTGGGGAAGCCCACCTGCTGGCGATAGTTGCTGTGCCTGCTCTGGAGTCTGCACAGCTCTCACCTAAGCCACGCACAGCCCAAACATGCGTGCGGGGGGTTCCCGCAGGCGCTGCTAGACGCATTAATGGCATTCCTACGCAGCGAGAAATTTCTGCACCACCAACACCATTTTTATATCCTTTACAACGAAATGGCAGACAATAAATCTATCCTGCTAATTACACATCCAGCTTGTTATGACCCCCATAAAAACCATGAGCAGCTGGAAAAGCCATGAGGTGATGTCAAATCATATTCCTGGTCTCTAAACAGAAACAGAAATATTTTCCAGGTGCTGGCAAGTCTCAGGGTTCCCACCCGGGCGTGGAAGCAGCTGCCCATGGGTCACTCACCTCTGAGCAGATGATCGCTAGGCTGTCCTCTTAAGTGCCACTCTCTGCCCCCATGTGTCCCCCTGAAGAGACGGCAGATGTCTAGGGCATCCACCTGTACTCCGTGAAGAAGTCTTTGGGATGAAATGTCAGGACTTGGCTAAGTCAAATGCTTTGAGCACTGGGGTTCATTATTGCACTATGAAGGTGGTATCAAATCTCTTCCATTCACCACAAATCAGCGCCTACCACTGGCCCAGAATTCTAACTGGATGGTTCCGGAACATAATTTGCAAAGCTGTCACTAAGACCCATGTTGGAGAGGACAATGCCTCTCCCTGCTCTCAGAAAAAAGGAAAGAAAGTTAAAATCATTTGCTGTAGATACTAAGATAACAGGGAAGAAGAAAACCATTTCCTTTGTTTTTTTTTTTTTACCGCATTACCGCTTGTGGCTACAGGGCATCCTTGCCCTCAAGGGCAGGGGACCACCAAAAACAACGGACGGGTTTGTATGCTACCAAGTACATGGTGGTTGCTTCATGTGTCCGACGGGAAGACGTAGGAGACAATAGAAGGGGAAGCAAGGGCCGGGGATATAGCTCAGTGGCACAAGCGCCTGCCTGGCAAGCACAGGGTCCTGAGTTCAATTCCCGGTACCAAAAAAAAAGAAGGGGAAGCAAATTAAATTTTCACATGTCAAAGGAAAATCTCACAGGCGGTTTCAAACCCGGGATGACCAAAAGGGGCAGCTTTTGTTGGAGAAGCTGTCTCATTATCTGCCCCCACAATTCCCAGGGCAAACCGGCTGGATCAACAGTCATGTGGAAAAAAAGAAAAGAGAAAGATACAAAATCGATTCTTACCTTCCCGTATCTGGACGCAAAAGTCCCCGTGAGTAAGGAGTGAAAAATAATTATTGTCTCATCCAAGTCCCACACGAAGACACGCTGCGATGAAAGAGAGGAAGAGAATGGAGACGAATGGGCTCGCTTGCATCTGACTTAATGTCTGCAGAAATTAATTCCCTCGGAGGAAAAGAAGTCTTGAAACACATTATCTTTAAGTTATAAAACATGTGACTCCAATGCCTTGTGAATCCCCGTCCAACCTCATCTATGGAAAGTGTGCTCTGATGGCCAAGTTCTGGGCTCCTATCAACCCCACAGATGCCAGAACCAAGAAGCCTGTGCTTGCCTTCCACATAAAAACTCAGAAAAGGAGGCGTTCAGGCCAAAAACAACAATAAAAATCATATAACTCACTTGACAACATGAAATACTACCATTTTAATTTGCTGCTTACCATAAGCCCAACTATTTCTAGCCATTTCTGTTTTTAGCAAGTCTTGCAATTACTTTCCTAATGCTAAAGAGCACATTTCTCTTTACTCACTGATTTGCCAACAACTTGATGGTGTCATTTGACAGCACTGTCTGAAAGATGAGGGTTTAGCTCGTGGGAGCCTCCCTTGTTTTCAGGAAGCTTACTTTTTTCACACACGTGAACCCCTCTACTACCAAGGCTCTCCGCTTTGGAATCCTCCCGGGGCTGAAATAGTAAACTCGGTGTGAACCCCCTGCCTCCTGTTTTCTCTGGTATTCACTGGCTTCAGCTTTACTTTTGTCTTGTCAATTGCGGTCGACTAGTTTGTATGCATGGTTTTGTAACTATGATTAAGTCTTCTGTGCTCTGTCTGCCTGTTGGTTTTAAAGGTTGGTCACTAATAAAAAAATATTTGCAACCTGTGATTATTCACTGCAGAGCCAAACATATTTTACTGTCCCCTCCGTGTGTTCAACCTCACAGCCCCACACCCACTCTAAGGAGAACGCCCCTACCGCTAAGGACACAGGTACTCTGTCAGTCATGCTCTATCCTGATCAAAATAATGCCACATCTCAGTGTTTTCATAAATGAACCACATTTGGCTGGTATAACTACTTGTTTCTGTTGGAGTTTATTGACTGCATTTATTTTTTCTTGTTCAGCGAATGTGCTTTCATTCTAATCTCATATTTAGCCATACTCTCTGTATCAAAGATATTCATCCTCAGTGATAGAATGCTCCAATGTAGCGATTTCCCTTCACTACGTTTCTGAGTGGGATCTACTCCTACCTGGATTCCCAGGCTCCCTGTCTCCCCGCCCTCATCTCTGTTTAGTTTTCCTGAGTATATCCTTAAGTTGCCTTTTTTGACTGGGTGCATGAAAAGCAATCTCCCTGAATTTTTGCGGATGTGCTAACTTTATTTTCTTCATGTTTCTCTGGGTAGAGACTTCCAATTGGAAAATAATGCCCTCTATGTCTTTGATAATTCTTCCATTATCTTCTAGAGGATTTGTGGGTCATGGAGGAAAAATCCGATCTTTCATTGATCCTTAGTCCTTGTAGTTTTTGGCTTCTTTTCCTTCCAGGGTTTTACCTGGTATCCTGAAGTCCCATGAGGATACACCTAGGTGTGGTATTTCTTTTCATTCACACTGTTCAGCACTTGAGCATTGTCAATCCAATGACTTGTATCTTCCTCCATCTCTGACAATTTTTTATTTTTATCTTTAAATATTACATTTGATTTATCTGTATTATTGTTTTCTTTTCCTGGAATTTCTAATAGTTTTTTTTTTTTTTTTTTTTTGTACCGGGAATCAGACACTTGTTTTGCTGAGCTATATCCCCGGCCCAGAATTTCTAATCTTTAAATTATGCCTTTTGGATTGATAGGGTTTCTCCTTCTAAGCCATACTTTCTGTAAGTTTGTCTTTTTGATCTGTGTTCTGAGTAATTATTAAACTTCCTCTTCTAGCCTGTTTTCTCATTTAAAAATTACCGTAACTGTATTTTGTTTTGAATATTCTTTTCCCAATAGCCTCCAGTTCTTATTTTATAGATGTAAAATCTTTTTGAATTTTTACAAGAAGATGACGAGATTTTTTCTAAGTTCTTTTCTTTTTTTAAATTATTTTAGTTCTCATTTCTCCCATTTATTTATTTGGGCTTCTATTTTTCATTCTGTTGTTTTTCCTCACTTTCCTGGTGATCATTATTTTTAAGAACAAAGGAACTTTTTTTCCTTTTTTAGTCTCTGTGGCTGGTGCTGAGAAGGGAGCAAATATACCTACTCAGTCTGCCACTGTGAACGGGCCCCCTTTAAACTCTGAGGCCAGTGGCTGTATTAGCACAGTGGCGTTTGCTATGCCCTTAAAAGTAAAGCGGGGGGGAAAAAAAAAAAGTAAAGCGGGGTACCTAGAATGAAGAACACAGGTTAGCATCTCAGGTTCTCTAGTACAGAGGTTTTTGAAGCAACTAGTAGAACTGAATGTTGTTTCATAGATTTTTTTGGGTCCAGTTATATCCATGTGCATGGATGTGTTGGGTCACGATAGTAAATGTGCTTCTTATTCTGGATCTTGGTAAAAAATGTTTGAAAACCACTGCTTTTGAGGAGGCCTTTTATAGTTCAATACGCTGCTCTGATTTATCTGAACTACATGAGCTGGATCAGTTTAATTTAGAAATCATAGTTATAGGATTAAAAAAACTAATGAATGTTTTCAAATTTTGGGGCAGGCTCCGTTCATTTATCAGTCACCTCCCCTTTAAAGAAGGCATTCTGCCTTTCTCCTCCCCACCCCGCCTCTACCCCCCAACCCTCGACTCCCAGGGGACACATTCCTGCTGCCATTATGTGGTGGCTCTGCTCCCTAAGCTGCCACAACTTGGACCAGAGTGGGTTCCTAACCCCACATGTGTCAGAGACCTTGTTAGGGGAGAACTTAAAATTGGTGCTTACAAAGGAAGTCATTTTTGGGGAGCTGTTGGCGGCCCAGTTTGGCCATGTGATCTGAAGGAAAGAGAATCCAAATCATAGAGAAGGACAGAGGGTCAAAGGTGGTCCTGGTTTCCGCTGGGAGCAGAGTGCGGCGTGTGGGGAGGGAAGGCAGGAACGTGATTCCCTGCCCGGTCTCCCAGGCCGGTGGCAGTGTCTGCTTGGCACTGTTTTGAGCTGCCCTCGAGTTCTAAGAGGGTCTCTGGTTCCTGAGACAAATTTCTGGTTTTTCACTTAAGCAAGCTCAGGTCAGTTTCTGGCACCTGCAGCTGAAGGATTTTAACTAATACACACTCAAAATTTTCCTCCTTTCCACTTGGATGTAATTTCTCTCCCATGGGCTTTGGTCATTAACAAAACCGCGAAAGACTTAAGAGGTGCGACCCAGGCAAAGCCGCCCCGCTGACATTAAGTCCAGAAGAGCAGCGCAGCTCACACCTTTCTGACTGTTCTCGCCCAGTGGTACTTACGCTGGGGCCAAGAAGCAGATGTTTCCAGAATAACCTCACCCTATAATCCCCAACTTCCATGCCACAACGCTCCTGCCTCCTGCTCCGCTTCATGGAAAATGTCTCTGCAGTCCCACTGTCCCCTACCAGGAGCAGAAGCCCTGTTAGGCTACTACATTTAGCAGGGAGAAAATATTAATGCATGTGCTGTCTTCTGAGTTTTCTACAGCTCTCCAGCAGCAAGCTGGTAGAGACCCTCAGGAATGCAGGAGAGCGGGGAGCAAAGACAACCCAAAGCCAGCTGATTCCTCCCCACCTTTTGCAAAAGCCTCAGCCCACAGAAGGGATTGTGTGGGGTCTCCTCGATCTGGGAAAGGGGTGGCTTTAACAGTGAAGGCGGGCTTGGGGGTGCACGCTTATAGTCCCCACCACTCAGGGGACTGGGGCAGGAGGGTCGCTTGAGCCCTGAGGGTTTGAAGCTGGCCTGGATAGTGAGAGGCTATGCTTTTTTAAAAAAACCCAAACCAAGAAACAAACAAACAACCTCTAAAACAAGGGAAAAGCAAGAGCGGAATGCTTTGGGCTGGGAATGGTCCTTGCAACAGTAGGAACACTTGCTCTGTGGCAGTGCCCTGGGGTAGTAAAGGCAGCTGGTGAACTTCGGCAGGTTGACCAATCACAGAGGATAAGTGTGCTGTCTGTACATAATACCTTCTAGGATGATCAGTGTCTGCACCGGCCACCAATACCTTCAGCCATTCTAGTGAATGCTGGCTGAATACCAGATGCCTCAGTAGTGGGCATCTGTGGCCTGGGTCCCCCAGCATCCATCCCCAGTCTTCTGACAAGAGCATCTTGGTTTCTTCTACTCCTGTGGGCTGTCTCAGCTGAGCTTTCAATCAAGGGGCAAGAACAGGACCCATGCCAGGCCCAGGGAATGCTGTCCCCTTGAACCTGACATTGAGTGAAGTGGTCCTAGGACATACAGTGGCTTGCTGTTTGGCTGGGCAGGCATCCTGAAGGGTACACTGCCTTTGGTGCTTCCTTCTGACCCTGGCTTTGTGGCCTCCTGTCCCTGTCCTTCCCTCCCAGGAAGTTCTGTTTTGCTTTGTATTCAGAACTGGTTTCTATTGGTTTCAACCAAAGGATCTTAGCTAAGGCTCCAAGGTTCTCAGCTGGTGTAGGGCATGGAGTCCAGCAAGTGGCTGGACTTTCACTGACCACTGTGGGCTTTGACCTTGAGGAAGGCAGCCTCGCTGGACTTCTGAAGCTCTTTGATTTTCTGAGATCCCTTGAATCCTGAGATTCCTTGAATCCTGAGGTTCACATGAAATTCTGAGAGGGGACAAATGCTGGTAATGAGGTGGGATTTCCTATCACCCTGATACAGTGGGAACTCAGAGGCAAAATTTCATTGACTTTGAAGCAATGACGAAGATGGTATTTCTTCATGTGTTTGATCTTATGGTTCAGCTTTGTAGCTGCTGCACAAACTGCCTGGGATTATAAATAGGAAGAGATGGTGATGTTTGAATTGCCTGGCTTTGACCCAGGCTTGGCCACTGCTATCTGTACTGAGGTACACTCTGGCCAACCACTGACTACTTTTTTTGTGAAGAAGTACAAACCTGTGAATTTGCTCATTTTCCTCCCTTGATAGATCGTGGTCACTTATATCTGTTTGGGCATCCGTTATGCATATGTCCCCACTGGTGTCCTCCCCCACGAAGGCTGTTTTGGGGGGAATTTCAGCGTCTGATTAGGCATCCTACATTTGCTTTTTTTTTTAAATAACAAATATTAGAGTATCCATCAGACCAGCTGTTTTCAGCCTGGACTGTACACTGGAATGACCATGGAGTTTTAAAAATGTGGGTGCCTAGATGCTACCTTCAGCAAGCCTGACTGGGCCTGGGGTGCAGCTTGAGAATTGATGGTTCTCCAAGTTCTGCAAGTGATTTGGTGCGCACCAGGGTGAAGTCCACTGCCTGAGATGCTAGAACCATGAAAGGATTTGGGCTGCCTCTGGGTGGATAAGTTTAACTTTTAAAACTACTTCCAGAGGAGCTTCACCTGGGGAAGAAGCCCAGGATCTGTATTTTTTTTGAGGGTTTCACTACATATCCCAGACTGGCCTTGAACTTGCTTATGTAGCCTAGGCTGGCCTTGAACTCACAGTGATCCCCCTGCCTCAGCCTCCCGAGTGTTAGGGTTACAGGTTTGTGCCAGCATACCTGGCTGCATTTCACAGAGCATCATGAGTTCTCTGGCATGTCACGAGGGGTAAGAACCTAATTCAGCTGAAGGCCCTTACCCATCCTTTTCTTTACCAGGGACTCTTGGGTAAGGACTCCAACCCAGGATGTCAGCATCCCATGGGGAATTGTCAGGCTCTGTCCTGAATCTGCTGAATTGGATGCTTTGAGTGGGGCCAGCAACCCCCTGGAGATGCTGATGCGGCCAAACTCTGAGATGCACCATCCCCGCTGGCCAGCGCTCCAGTGTGACCAGCCTCACTCCTCCTAACTTTCCCTTCCAGCACTCCTTTCCCGATGACCACCTTCAGGAATAGCGCTGCCCTTGCCCCCTTGCTTGAACCACACTCACAGAGTTCACCAGTCAACATAGGCCCTTGGGATTACCTCGATCTCATTGTCACTTGCCGGGGACGGGTCGCTGCTCCTCTTTGACCTGCCCCGGAGCTTCCCGTCAGGGGCCCGGTGTGGCCTGTCTGTGTCTCCCTCTTTGGCGGGCGTGGAGGGTCCGTTGTGTGTGTTGTAGTCACCTGAAATGAAAGGGAATGGTAGACAAATCAGAAGCTTGGCTGGTGGTGTCTGCCTCCAGGAGCTGTCACACCAGCCCTGCCTAACTCCTGTCACACCAGCCTTGTCTAACTCCAGTATGGAGGCCCAACATCATAGAATTGAAACTGCTCCTCAGTTGCTCATTCAGAACACTCATTTATGACTTTCCATGGTCGAATACAGATTTGTAAAGCAGACAACGGGGGACACATCCTGGTGTCCTTGGACAACTGCCTCACTGCCCTCAGACTAGCAGGAAGCATTCTCCCTGTTCCAGTCCCAGTGCCTCCACCAAAGCTGTGGTGTTCTTTAAGTACACAAATTTAAATACATGTATTTTAATTTTATTTTAGTTTTCTATTTTTCAGACAGAGTCTGGCTACATAACTCAGGCTGGCCTTGAACTTTCGGTGATTCCCCCTGCCTCAGCTTCCCCAGTGCTGGGATTACAGGCATGCGTTACCATACTTGGTTTAAATACATGGCTTTTTATTACATATTACCATCTCTGGCTAACTAATGAGAGAACTCAGGCTTAGTGAGGTCACTGGACTTGCCTGCTATGTCCTACAAATAAATTAGTGCCAAACTTGGGCCTGTTCTTGTCACTAAAGAATGACAAAACCCTGAACCAGCAGGAGGCTTCGAGGACATCCCCTCCCACTTTCTTGCTTTCCAATTGCTTGTTTTAGCTCCCAAGTGCATCCTGCAGCCTCCACCTCGCCTGCTGTAATCTTCAGTTTTGGGATCATCAGGGGGAAATGCCTTTCTCTAAAAGTACTTGGCAAAGGACAGCTTCTTTTTCCTATGCAGGAAAGACTATTTCCCTCCGAAACCCAAGGGAGTCAACTTTGTTTATTTAATATCTATAAAACTTCTTAGCAGACTAAGGACATAATAAGGAAAGATGTGATTTTTGAGTTGTCAGGATGGCTCAGAATTCTCCAAGTCCCCAACAGTTTTAGAGCTCAGCATTCCCAAGCAGTGAGCTAGCAGACACTTTCTCCAGGAGAAAGAATTTTTTCTAAACTTGTAGAGGCTGGACAGCAGTGCACTAAGGTTCAACCTGAATCACTTGGTCTTTTAAGGATATTGGGGCTTAGAGAAAAATTGTTGCCTTCACTAAAGACCAAGCAAATATTTTAAAAAGGGGCAAATCCACACTAAGATGTCTGGCTTCTCTGCTCAGTGTAACTGTCTTGAGATTCTGTCCTGCTAATGCATATCAAAGCTCATCCCTTTGTGATCTGTGAATATCTCCATTTATTAATGGCTTTTCCAACTTCTGTTGGAAATTTTCAATTTTTTTTTGTCTTTCTGAGACAAGGTTTCACTATGCAGTTCAGGCTGGCCTTGAACTCACTTTGTAGAGCAGGCTGGTCTCAAACTCAAAGTGATCCTCCTGCCTCAACCTTCTGAGTGCTGGGATTACAGGTGTGCACCACCACGCCCAGCCTCGTGGCGATTTTCATACAGTGTAAATCTCATCTACCTTCTGTCAGATTTAACCTTATGTAGTTCATATTTTTTGATGCTATTGTAAGAAGAATTTAAATATAGTCTATTTCCCATTGTTATGTCCCTATACAGACATAGGAGTTCTATATATTCATTTAATGTCCCACGACACTAACACTGTGATTTAGAATGTTTTAGTTCTAGTAGCTTTTTCATGAACTCCATCAGATTTTCTACATAGGTGATCATGTCATTTTATTTCATGAAGCTTTGCTTCTTTTATTACATAAAAGATTTGGGGGGGCTGGGGATCTAGCTTGGTGGTAGATCGGAAATGCCTAGTATATGTAAGGCTCTGGGTTCAATCACCATGACTGCAGAAAACAAAACAAAACATGAAACAAAATAAAAAAGATTAAGTCAACCTAGTTATATCTTTAGATGAAAAGCATTGTATTTTATTATTTTAGTTAAAGTGAGTTCTTAAATATATCTCCAGAAGCATTATTTATTTTTGTACATCACTTACTAACATGCAAAGCACATAGTTTTTGGAATCTTCAACAACCTTGTAGAACAGTTAAGACAGATATGATGATTTTTAAATATTGACCAATAAAAATTATATTTTGGGGGCTGGGGAGATAGCCCAGTGGCACAAGCGCCTGCTTGGAAAGTGCAAGGTCCTGAGTTTGATTTCTGGTACCAAAAAAGAAAAAAAAAGCAATCAAAAAACCCCCTCCAAATTATATTCTTGTAGTGTATAACACGATGTTTTGATATATGTGTACACTGGAGCAACTAACATCACACTAATCAACTTATCTATTACTTTATATACTTATTTTTTGTGGTAAGAACACATAAAATCTATGTTCTTCTATGGGAGAAAAGAAGCCCTTTTACATTGTTGATGAGAATGTAAATGGGCTCCACCACTATGGAAATCAGCATGGAGAGATCTCAGAAAACTAGAACTAGAAATTCCATTTGACCTAGCTATTCTCCTTCTAGCTATGTTCCTAAAAGAGTCAGAGACATCATATTACAGCGATACACGCATACTCATGTTCATAGGTCAACTCACAGTAGTTAAATCTTGGAAGTGGCTTATATGTGCATCAAGAGATGAACGCATAAAGGAAATATGGTATTTATACACCATGGAGTATTACTTGGCCACAAAGGATAAACCTGAGGCATTTGTAAGAAGATGGATGCACCTTGAGACCATAATGGTAAGTGAAATAAATCAGACACATCAGTTTAACTATCACATGGTTTCTCTTATTGAGAAACCTAAAGTATAAATAATTTAAAGAGATAAATATAGGAGAGATGATAGTAAACAGAGAGCTAGCTCTTTAGCCAATGGGAAGAGGACCAAGAGATGGAGGGAGGGGAGGGAAGGGAGAGGAAGGGAACATAAAAGGATGGAAGCCATGTTGGGTACATATGCCAACTCCCCATGGTACATGGAATCACTGTGCATGGCAAGTATGTGCTAATAAAAGTTTAAACATTAAAGAAACCTACTTTCTTAGCAATTTCCAGTATTCAATGTACTGTTGTTAACTATAGTCACCCTATTGCAATTTATTTCTCCTATCAAACTGAAATACCGTATCTTTTGATTGAAATCTTCCTAGGAGCACCCCCCGACCCCAGCCTCCGGTAAACACCATTCTGCTCTGTTCTATGAGTTCCACATTTTTTAGATTCCCCATACCAGTGAGGTCATGCAGTATTCTTCTTTTTAAACACAGATGCATTTAGTTTTTTTTTTTTTTTTTCTTGTCTTACTGTACTAGCTAGAGCCTCTAGAAGAGTGTAACAGATGTGGTGAAAGTGGCCCTCTTTGTCTTAGTTTGATTTTGGGGGGATAGTTGTGGGTTTTGGTAGCTATTTGATCTGTTTAGTCTTCTGTAATAAAAATACCATAGACGGTATGGCTTAAACAATAGAAGTTTGTTTGGTTCTGGAGGTTGAAAGTCTGAGATGAAGTGCCAGCTGATCTGATTCCTGGCAAGGGCTCTCTTTTTGGCTTATAAGTGGATGTGTACTTGTGATATCATCACGTGGAGAGTTCCCCTCCCCTTCTCTCCCCTCCTCTGCTCCCCTCCCCTCCCCTCCCCTCCTCTCTTCTTCTCATAAAGGCACTAATCCTATTCTCAAGAGCGCTACTTTCATGACCTAACCCTTGCCCTATAGCATCACACTGATGATTAGAGCTTCACTTACGAATTTCGGGAGTGGTAGAGGCCAAACATTCAGTCTATAACATGTGCTTTTCTGATAAAAGAAGTACCCCTTTATTGTCTACTTTTAGTTTGGGAATAGATGATGGATTTGTCAAATACTTTCTTTGGTATTTATTAATATAATCTGCAACTTGTTAATATTGAAAATAATATAAATTGAATATAAAATTTTCAACCAAATTTGCATCCCTGGGATGAACTCTGCTGGGTTGTGATGTATTAGCCTTTTAAATAGGTTTTTGGACTTAGTTTGCTACCATCTTCTTCAGAAAATTTTTATCTATGCTTATGAGGCATATTAGCCCACAGTTTTCTTACAGTGTCTTTGCCTGGCTTTGGTATCAGGATAATGCTAGCCTTATAGGATGAGTTGGGTGGAAGATTAAGTCTTTATAATCTTTCTTCTTTTCTAACTTCGGCCTTTAGTGCTGTACATTTCCCTTTATGCACTGCTTTCATGACACTCCATAAATTTTGATAAGTTGTGGTTTGATTTTCACTCAGCTTGAAGTACCATTTAATTTCTCTTTGATTTCTTCTTTGATCTATATGTTAGGTAGAAGTGTGTTATTTAGTTTTCAAGTAGTGGGAATTTTCCAGAAATATCTGTTATTTACTACTAATTCAATTCCACTGTTGTCAGAGAACATACTCTGTAAGCCTTGAATCCTTTTAAATGGACAAAAACTTGTTTTATGCTCCAAAGTAAGAGCCTGCCTCGGCAAACATCCCATGTGCTCCAGAAAAGAATGTGTATTTGCTGCTGCTGGTTGGAGCTTCCTATAGAGTCTGCTACCTGTAGTCTTTCCCTTTTATTCCAGATCCTGCTCTACTTTCCAGAGAAAATGACTGTTAGCAGTTGCTTTTGCATTTATCCAGAAATTTCCTACACAAATAGAGTGTCTTAGCCTCTTTCTTGTTGCCGGAACAAAACACTCAACACCCACAACTTATAGGAGGAGAAGTTTATTTTGGTTCATGGGTACAGTCCGTGGTAGGCTGGCTCTGAGGCACAAACAGCATGGCAGAGGGGCACAGTGCAGGGAGGCTGCTCACAGCATGGTGGCCAGGAAGCACAAGGTGAAGGGAGGAGACAGTGACCAGCTTCTTCTGGTCAGACTCTGCCCCTAACAGCAAGTCAGCTACAGCGCCCCTACGATCCAATCACTTGGCAAAAGCCGCGCCTCTAAGCACGTGAAGCCTTGGGCCACACTCTCCATCTAAACCATAACACGCAGGTATTAACCTAAACTTGAGTGAGATGCAGGCTCATCTTTTACATGCAACTCTGCCTCTTGCTTTTCCATACTGACCTCTACCTCTCGCCCTCTGCATCACTTTTTAAAGGCTGTGCAGTTGCCCACCGGCACAACTCTGTTGTGTATCTGACCTGGTTCCTACGAATGTGTATTCAGGTTGTTCTTGTCTTTTGCAGTGATGATGCTAGCATAAACATTTCTTAAGTGTTTGTATCTTCACGGGAGTTTATCAATTCTTAGATGCAGAAGGGTTGGGCTCAAGGGCGCATGCATTTTTAATTTTGTTAGATGCTGCCCAAGTGTATGGAGGAGTCTTCTACACTCCTACTGGTTGAGCGAGATGATCTAAAATGTTAAAAAAAAATCCTCCAGCTTCTTTTTAGAGAACTTGCATACATTTAAATATGCAAAAAGGACAAAGCCTTAAGCAATGACTAGAGGTGTTTTTTCTCTCCAGCAATAAAAGGTGTTCAGATTTTTCCGTCTCTGCTGGCAACTGCCCTGCTGTCACCTGCACACTGAGGACCCGTGCTGATGTCATTTGTCAGCGCAGCGTTCCTTGGGGGCTTGGGGGGAGTGGGGACAGCATCAAGACGCCCTCTCCAGGTGACACAGAGTGTGTGGGCTCTGCCTGTCTCAGTGTACACGCGCCATACCGGCCTCTGTGGCTTGGAAGCAATCACCAGACAGCATCCTGGATCATTTCAAAAGTGGAGTTTTTATGGGGAACTTTAAAAGTGGGCGTGAGTGTGTGTGTGTGTGTGTGTGTGTGCCGCACACACAGGCATACCTACACGTCCTTCCCTTGTAACAGTCACTGGGGGAGAGAGGCCAGAGACCTCTGTTAGAGCTGACAATTATTTATGTCTCCAGATTTTATGTGGACTTGTTGGACACCTAGTAAAAGCCATCTCAACCACGTACAACTGGCCCTTAGACCAACAGATAAATGAAGAACGGGGGAAACAATAAAGACACATTTCAAAGAGACCCAGTGAACCCTTACATTTGCTCCTGGTGGGGAGCAAAGACGACCGAGGCACGTAGCCCACATTCCTGGGAGGAGGAAGGAAGTCTTCGGAGGCCTGTTCACCCTCAGACTACGGGTGCAGAGCAGCACCTACGCAAAGTGTTCCTGCTTACAGTTCCTCTCTGCCCTAGTTTCTCATGAGGGTTTTGCTTTTTTCCTTTTCTGAACCCAGTCTGTAGAGACCACATTCTGAAAAGCAAGGTGGCCAAAGATAATTCAGGGTTATGAAGAAGAGAGTTTTGTCAGACTTCATATTCTTCAAAGAGACTGATTTGGAAGTTGCCAAATAGATACTGTGTGCTCACTAAATCCTCTGGGATGAAGTCACAATGACCAAAGTCAACGCTCTAGCCCTAAACTTTCTCAAAAGTTGACTTAAAAATGCTTGGCCATGTTGTCTCCATTTGTCATCAACTCAAGAACACCCCCCACAGCAGCCACGTTGAGAACCTCAGGAACAGAAAAGGTGGGTCTTCCCTATTGTTCTTCTTCTAACCATCGCCCAATAAATACGAATGGAGGTCCACACAACATCAGGCCAGCTGTCTTGGTTGCTTTTCTCTCATTGCTGAGACAAAATACCTGACACCTAGAATTAAGGAAGGAAAGGTTTATTTAGCTCACAGTTTGTGGAAGTTTCAGTCCATACTTGGCTGGCTCCAAGGCAGAGTGGCACATGGCAGAGGGCAACCGTTCATGGCAGCGGAAAATAATAAAAGCAACAAGAGCAAAAAGAGAGGAGTGGCAGCAAGCAGCCTCTTTCCCTCCCTTACACTGTATGCAAACTACCCGCCCCAGGGCAAGTGTAGCACTCACACCCGTAATTCCAACGTTGGACCATGAATCAATCATAAACTCTAGAAGCCTGCCCCATGACCGCATGAGGCTTTGGGGGGACATCCAGACACAAACCATAACACCAGCTCAGCTTCCACGAAGCTGCAGGGTGTTAGTAGGTGTCAGAAAAGAACACAAACGAACAACTCTCAGTGATGCCACTTTGCATCTGCACCTTCTGGTTGTTGCTGCCATGTGATGTAACACTGACAAGCTCACAGAATCTCTTCAGAGAGAAGCCATGTGCCCAGCAGGTCTGTAGAGGAAGGGGCAGCTCCACAGGATGGCAAGCCAGTCTCTCAGGAAGTACCCACTGAGGTCTGTGACTGCAGAGGGGCCAGAACATGGGCTGTACGGCAAGCAGCTGCTCACCATCCAGGTGTGAGCTGCTGCAGGGCTGTGAGCTTCTCTTTTTCTTTTTTCATTTGGTGTTGCTTCTGCCATGTGGTTACGGTGCTCAGGTTTCTTTGGGAACCCCCTTTCCTTCATCTCCAGTCCATGAGGTTGGGATGGGGTGACCCCAACTCCAGCTGTGGCTGTGGGTGAGACCTGTGTGTTGCTCCTTCCAAGCCTTCCACTCTGCTGGCACAGAGATGGTCCGGGGATGGGCAGTGACCTGAGCTGGGCCAGGGGAGCTTGCGGGGCTCTCGCAGGAACTGTCAGGAAGGAGAGTCCCTATGAGGGGTGGATTTGGGGGCAGGACTGAGTCCTTCATGGCTGGTCGCCATCCTGGCCATGTGAGTGGAGGAGCTGCTAGAGTGAGATGAGCCCAGGAGGCCCCAGAACCGGAAGGAAGAGAGACCGAGTCCCTGGACCCAGGCTCGACCCTTGTGCACCTTGGCTACATGTACTTAAAAATAATTTTTCCGCCTTCTTTTTCTCTTCCTCCTCCTCCTTTCTCTTCTTCTTCCTCTTCTCTTTTCTCCTCTTCCTTTTTTCCTTCCTCTCTTCTTCTTCCCCCTCTCCTTCTTCTTTGGCTTAAACTAGATTTTTTATTTTTTGAGGCCAAACAGTCTTGGCTACTATGTGGATGGGAAGTGGGTTTCCAAAAATTGTGCTATTAGAAATGAACATACTTAGGGATTGTGTGAAGGACCTACAATTCTTGAGGCTCCTGAGTCATAATATACAATATAATTAATATTTTAGAGAATCAAAAAGGCCTTCTGTCCTTCATGAATTTTAGATGACATGTCCTCAGCTCTACATGGCTGGTGAGCAGCATGAGCGCTGGTTACACAGCCCAACAGGCCTGGGTTCAAATCCCGATGCCACCAGTTACTAGCAAGTTACTTACATTCTAGTCTTGGAAAAAGGTGTATGTGTAATATAAAACCCGTCTTCATGAGAATTATCTCTTTCCTTATCATAGTTTGTGAAAATACATTTGTGCAATTGATTACTATCTACAAAGAGCAAGTCTATGCTGTTATTTATTTATAATTTCCCAAACTAAGGAGTGCTTGGAAAACAGTACGTGCTTAAAATATTTGTTAGTAAGTATATAAATAAGTTATTAAAAGAGACCTCCCAGGGACGCACGTAGCACATAATAGATGGGCATTTAATATGAGTTTTCTTTCCTTTTGGATCAGGGCTTACAAACCCTCAGGCCCACGTGGGCTGGGCAGGTCATGAACTTGAGGTGAGCTGATGGGATGTAGAATCCTGCGTGTTGGAAATGGGGTAAATGTGCTTAGTTTTAACTAAGTTTTGTTCCTTGGGAATGTGGCTAAAGTGGCAGGATCTTTCAAAAGAATCTAGAAATGAGAATTTTGAGGTAAAAACTTCTTCTTTTAAACATGGATGCAATTAAACACACACACACACACACACAGAAAGAGAGAGAGAGGGAGAGAGAGAGAGAGAAAGAGAGAGAGAGATAGAGAGAGAGACAGAGAGAAGTCAGCACACATGTGAGGGACAGACCCAGCCCCTGGGGAAGCAGTTTATTCCAGGGAAACCTATATGCAGGTCCTTTCAGACTCCAGCCACAACTGCCCAACAAAGATGACTTGGAACGCTGGGTCTCTTACGTGAGAAACCCAAAGTGTAAATTTAAAGAGTGAAATAAAAGACAGACATAGGAAACGGGGAGCTAGATCTTTTGCAAAGCGGTGGGGGATGAAGAGATGGAGGGAGACCAGGGGAGGAGAGGGGAAGGGGAGGTAAAAGGATTTAAGAAGGGTTACTTGCTTGTACCAATTCTCCACAATGAACGTGACCGTTATGTACTGCAAATGTGTACTAATAAAAATAAAAAATAAAAAATAAAAAAAGAAATACGCACCGGCCGGTGGCTCGGAGGTCTGGTTGAGGACACTGTGGGACGCCTCCTGGAGGACGTAGGTGGACGTGGACAAGGGTGAAGGGCAGATGCTGCTGGCCGGGACGTAAGGAGGGTTGTAGGACGAGCTGTAATACTGGGGGTACTGGCTCTGCGGGAAGCCGGGGTAAGAAGGATAGTCCTGGGAAGAGAAAAAACAGAACAAAGCCCCCCAAGGATATGAGTGAGGAAGCCTGTCAGGGCCGGGGCCCCATCAGCCCTGTTCCTCTGTCCTTCGGCCCCATTAGGATGAAAACTCTCCAAGGGCAGGCACTGTCTGCAGTTTGGTCTTCCCAGCAGAAGGCGAAGTCAAAGAATTCAAGAGCAGGAGCACATTTGGAAGGTACAGGAGACAGCAGGAGGGGAGAAGGAGGTGAGACCGCCCACCAAGGGAGAAAGGCAAGGCAGCCCTGCCCCAGATGGCTTCTCCAGGGGGCGGGCAGAGCCGCTGGCACCGGGAAACAACTGAGATAGTGTGAAACACACATCTCAGACTTGCCTCTCCAAGGGCCTGGCGTGGGTGCTTACACACCAGTTGCAATCTGCCTTGACAGGTCTCCCAGGAAACTTAATTCCCTGTCACTTCCTGCTTGCCCTTTTCTGGAGGTCAGGAGGTGGCCCCAAAGAGTGAAGGTGTGGCCTTGACAGAGTGTCCTGGTCACTGTTGCATCCCCAGCATCTGAGGCTTATATAGTAACTCGGTAGATATGGAACAATGAAGGAGCAATGAAGACCACACGTGCCCAGAGAACCAGGCAGCAGTGCGGGTGCTTGAGAAGAAGGTGCAAAGGGCTGGGGATATAGCTCAGTGGTATAAGTGCCTGCCTGGCAAGTGCAAGGTCGTGAGTTCGATCCCTGGTACCGCAAAAAAAAAAAAAAAAAAAAAAGAAGAAGGTGCAAACCGAGCAGCATTTGCCTAGCACAGGGTTCAGCATATTCTGTGAGAGACCAGTGCAGACCGATCTAATGGATACTGGGCCTCTTCCACCACACCTTGCTTAAACAGGCCAGGCATTCTGGCTCTTCCCCGCCAGTGATTGCTGCAGCAATCTTGCCATTGCCATGACCTAGCACAGCGACACCCTGCAGAACACACAGCCCCGCCCCAGGTCCAGTGAGCCAGGATTTCTGGACAATCTGTGTTTCATGACAAGTTTGTATGGTGAAATGAACAAACACCTAAGGGTACGAATCACACCTTAAAAACTACTGTTTTACTTACAAATACTTTTATCTATGCATGTACATCACTGGGCACATACGAAAATAACAATTTCTGCGTTTTCCAAGGTTTAGTTACTCAGATTCTTCAGCTCACTGAAGAAGAACTAGCGCCCTTCTATATTTAAATGTGTTAAAAAGCCCGTCTACCCTGGGGGTCATTTTGTTTGAACACTAGACTGAAAGCATGTTCACTTTTTGTTGTGAAATAACCTTCGACTCGCACCAAAGGTGTGCAAGTGGCAGCCACAGTTCTTGTACACCTGTAGCAGGTTGGTTCTTAATTAACTCTGTAAATGAACCCAAGAGCATGACCACAGCCAGCGCTCATCTTTGTGGGGGGCCTGGGTCCGGTTTAGCAAGCATTTATGAAGCTTCTACCATGCATGCAGCCCTTGGCTCTGGGTACGCAGAGGAAGCAGACGTGCTCAGAGTCTGGGAGGAACACATGGCTTTGCACTCACAGTCCAGATTCCACCGGGGGTGGGGCCTGGGGCTCAGGTCAAGAGGAACATACATTGCCATGGCATCTTAGAAACCCAAGGAGATCTTTCCAGCGGCCTTTTGTACAGCCTGATCCTACAGTCTCCAGACCCAGGGACCAAGAGGCCAGGCTTCTGGTGGGAATTGCATTCTGCTGCGAATTGCAGGGGAGCGGGCTCTCTGGTGCCCTGACTGAAGAGGACTATTTAGGGAACTTGCTGAGAGAACCGGCAGGGAGCTGCATGTACCTGGTGCACTGTCCCGAAGCCGGCCGTGTTGGTCAGTCCGTTTGCTCCTTGGTAGAGCCCCGCTGTGCCTGTAAGAAAAGGGACAGGGCTGGGTTAGGGATCTTATTGTTCTAGGGAGGCACACAGAGGGCAAGGAGGCAGCGCCAGGGTGGGGTCTTTGAGATCTGAGGTTGGACAGAACCTGTGACTTTGCTTACCAAGCTTTCTGACCCTCAGTTTCTTCAATGAATGGGGAAAATAAGTAGCATCTTTTTTTTTGGTACCGGGAATCGAACTCAGGACCTTGCACTTGCCAGGCAGGCACTGTGACACTGAGATACATCCCTGGCCCAGTAGCATCTATTTTGAAGAGTTCTGGTGAGAAATAAAGAGTTGTGCATACAACAAGCTCACTGATGAATTATTTATTTTTAAAAATTATAGTAAAATATCATAGGTACATTTTTGTATTTTTTTTTCAAATAGCCAACAGATGGTCAAACTTCAGTGGTCCCTTAAAATATATAATGTAATAGTTCTCATCTTGACTATTTTAAAACCCACAGTTTAGTGGCATTAGATACATTTACATTGTTGTGCAATCACCACTGGTGTCTATCTCCAGAACTTTCTCATCTTGTAAGATTGGAACTCTGTCCCCATTAAACAACCCCCTCGGTCCCTGTCCCCTTGCCACGGCCATCCTCCTTCCTGGCCATGTGGACATGATGAGTTCTAGAAACTTCATATAAGTGGAATCGTATGGTATTTGTCTTTTTGTGACTGGCTTATTTCACTGAGCATAATGTCTTTAAGGATTATTGAGGTTGTGGCATGTTAGAATTTCCTTGCCTTTTAAGGGTAATATTCCATATTTTGTCTATCTATTCATGAGTTGATGGACATTTGGGTCATTTCCACTTGTTGGCTATTGAGAATAATGCTTCTCTGAACACGGGTGTATGGATATCTCTTTAAGACCTACTTTCAATTTTTTTGAGTTTATACCCAGAAATGCAATTGCTGGGACATACAGTAGTTCTATTTTTGACTTTTTAGAAGATTCTCCTTTTTCCATAGATTGTACCACTTTATATCCCACCAACAGTGTACAAGCATTCCATCTTCTTTGCCAGCACTTATTAGTATTTTTAATAGTAGCCATCCTAACAAGTGAGATGGTAATAATTATATATATTCTTTTGTTTTTGTTTTTTATTTTAAAAATAAAAGGTGAAAAATACTAACAGACAGACAACATTTTACAAAATAGCAAAGGATCAGTACAGATAGTACAGAGTTACAAACAGAGTGGTAGGGAATTAACAATGCTTGTTGTATTACATATTGATATCTTCAAAGTGGTTTCTCATGAAAACAGATATAAACATACAAAGCTGATCGACCAAGGACTCATTGACAGTTTCTTTCAGCAAGGAAATACAAGACAGTAGAACAGCCATGTTAACTATCCTGCATATATAATAATATATTTTGAATAAAATGAAATGACTTCACCTCTCTGAGTGTCAGCTGCCCCATCCATGAAATGGGAATGGAAGTGTGGCTGTTACTGTCAGCACTACTAGAAATGCTATTGATCCATAGGTTTGCGAATGAATGAGTGGTGAATCATTGAAGACAGGGAAGCCAGGAATGAGCTGAGGCACCACAGGAGGCCAGCGAGGGGAACACCCAGGGGGAGGAGTCTGAGCTTGACAGGCTGGAGAAACAGAAAGGGCGCAGAGGGCAGGAGCTAAGGGAGAAGGGGGGCCAGCAACTGCAGCAGAGGCCTTGTGAGTGTCAGGTATCATCTAAACTCTGCGGGGAAAGAGACACACAGATAGGTTAAGTGGCTGCCTGGGATCCCGTGGACAGTGAGAGGGGACAGCTGGGATAGGACCTCACAGGGGCTGCCTTGAGTCTGTTCCTGATATGCTTTGTGCTGCCTCTCTTGCTTCTTTTAAAAGCTGACTCTTGGGGGGTATAACTTACGTATTATAAAATTCCCCATCGTGTCAGTTCAGTGATGTTTACAGAGAACTGGTATCCTTGTAAGACTATCTCCCCGACCCAGTTTTTGAGCATTTCTATCATCCCCAAAGATCCCTCCTGCCTGTGTGCAGTCAGGCCTGGTCCCCGGCATTAAGCAGCTGCTGTCCTGTTGCTGGTTCTCTAGGAAAATTTCTAACAATTCATATAAATGGAATCCTACAATAAGTACTTGCTTGTGTCTGACCCTGTTCACTTCTCAGGATGCTTCAGAGGCTCATCCATGGTGCAATATGCGTCAACAGTCCACTTCTTCTTATTCCTCATTGGTATTCCACGTGTGCATATGTAGTATGTGTACGCAGCATGTAGTATTCTGCAGTATGCATGTACAACATCCTATTTTTGGCTGTGATGGATAATGCCATGTTGAGCATTTGTATATAAGGACACACACACACCTTCATTTCTCTTAGGTAGATCCCTAGGAGTAGAACTGGGAGTCATGTGTATGCTTAACTTTGAAAGAAATGGCCATACTGGTTCACACAGTGGTTATGTCAATTTACATCTCCACAGCAGTGCGTGAGAGCTCCAGTTGCTCCAGCATTTGGTGCTCTCACTCTCTTTGTTTATAGTTATTTTAGTAGGTACCCAGTGGCATCTCGTTTTGGTTTTAAGAACCATTTTTCTAATGACCAATGATGTTGGACACTTTCCATGTGTTTATTAGCCATTCGTATATTGCTCTTGATGAAACACCTGTTGAAGTCTTCTCAGCTATGTAAAGTGGTGCATACCCACGTCCCAGGTATTTGGGAACCTGAGGCAAGAGGGTTTCTTGAGTCCATGAGTTTGAGACCAGCCTGGACAACATAGTAAGACCCTGTCTTAAAAAAAGTCTTTTGCCCATTTTTAAAGTTACATTTGTTCTCATATTACTGAGTTGTAAAAATTCTTTATATATTATGGATACACATTTTTTTATTAGGTATATGAGTCATAAATATTAATGCTCAGTCTGTAGCTTGTCTTTTCAGTTCCTTAATGGCGTCTTTTGAAGAGAAAAGTTTTAAGTTCTCAGCTTTTTCTTGTACCGCTCTCTTTTTCTATTTGTTTTTTTTTTTTTTTTTTTTTTTGTACCAAGAATCGAACTCAGGACCTTGCGCTTGCCAGGCAGGCACTTATGCCACTGAGCTATATCCCTAGCCTTTGGATGTCTTTTTCTAGCATCAGCTTTTACATTTAGGTCTATGATCTAACAGGTTCATCTTTGTATATGGTGTGAGGTTAAGGCCTAAATAATTTTTCCTGCAACTGTATTCATGGTTGTTCCATCACCACTGTAAAAATTCTATCTTTCCCCCTATTGAATTACTTGGCACCTTTGCCAAAAGTTAATTGACCATAAATGTTAGGGTTTATTTCTGGACTCTATTTTGATTCATCTATCCTACAGAAATTCCATCCTGTCTTGACTACTTTATAGTAAGTATACTTGGTGCAATTGGTAGCTACTATAATAAGCTTCAGAGTAAGTTTTGCAATCAGGTGATTTAAATTCTCCAACCTTAAGACAAAATGATAGAAATTCACAATGGCTGCTATATTACACGCCGTTATCTCCAATGAATATCATTTTGTCTTGAGGTCATGTATCATTTTTGATGTTTTTGTGTTGTTTTGATTTTGTCTTCATTGTTGTTTTGTCAGTTTTTAAAAAACATTTAAAATAAAGAAATAAATTCTCCAACCTTACTCTTTTTCAAGATTGTTGTAGCGTCTAGTTACCCTGCATTTCTATATGCATTTTAGAATAAGCTTGTCCACGGCTACTAAAAGACAGCTAGGATTTGGGTTGGGATTGAACTGGATTGATTCACTTTTTTTGGAGACAGGTCTCACTATGTAGTTCAGGCTGGCCCTGAACTCGTGGTGACCCTCTTGTCTTAGCCCTCTAAGTGTTGGGATTATGGGTGTGCACCATCACGCCCGGCTGACTCACTTCTTTGATAAGAGGATGTTAGTACAGTATTTGATGCTGGAAGGTTTCAAGCAGGGACTGACACAACTAGATGCACACGTCTCACTACTACTTACTCACACTAGCTGCTGGGTAGAAAACAGGTGGCTGCACAAAGGAACTGTGAATCGCATCAGACACACTGTTTTCAGAGTCCATGGCTGTGTTTTAGAAGTGGCTGGAATGAGCACATTTTACTCCAGGGGTCTTTTATCCTAGGGTCGGGACAGGAGAAGGTAAGAGGACACCTCCAAGGATGTCCAAGAGGATGGGTCCATCTGGACCACAGGCTTTCAACGCTTGCTGTGTGCCCGCATCTCCCAAAGAATTTAGAGGACAACAGAAGATCAGCTCTGCCCACAGAGTCTGATTCAAGTTAGTCTAGGGTGGGTTGCAGGCATCAGTATTAGAAAATCAAAGCACTCTCTGGGAAGTTCTAGTTCACAGCAAGAAGTGAGATCCAAGAGCCAGCCCCGAGTCTTTTATTGTCCAAGTGGGGAGACTAAGGCCCAAAGAGGGAAGGCAAATGATGCTCAAGTGCTACGGAGTCCCGACAGCGCGGTGGATCAAGCCTATCTCCTGCTCCTCAGCTAGGTGCCTTTCCACTGCAGCACATAAAAGAACGAGCCCTGCAAATGCGCTGGGACCACTGATCTGTTCCCTCACGCATGCTTCATTACGCATGCGCCCAGCAGAGACTGCTGAGTGCTTCCCGCGGCTAGCACCGAAGCAGGCACATTGTACAGCAAGTCCCTGCTTCCTCACGCCGGTTCTGAGGGACGGGCAATTCCCGCTGCCATCTTCTACACAGAGCAGCTGAGCCTTCACAACGCAACCTGTCCAAGGCTGTAGAGCTGGACGGCTAAGGAGCTGGGATTCATTCTTTTCTTCAAGCAAACAAAATGTGCTGAAATAGGGAAAAAATGATTCAAATGACAGATTTCTCATCAAGAGCCGCGGAGGCCAGAAGAAACGGGGCCATTCCTCAAGAGCTTTCATAGAACACCATCATCCGCGAGTGATCCGACCAGAGACAACACCCTTCATGCGCAAATCAAGGCATTCTCAAGAAAA